TTTCTTTTAGGACTTGAAATACCTCACTCCAGGCTCTCCTTGACCTGAGAGTCTGTGTTGAAAAGTCTGCTGTGATTCTGAAGGGCTTTCCTTTGAATGTGATTTGTTTCTTTTCTCTTACTGCTTGTAGTAATTTGTTCTTCTGTTGAGTTTCTGGGATCTTGATTATTGTATGTCTAGGTGTAGATTTTTTATTGTGGCTAGTTGGAGTCCTATGTGCCTCACTTATCTGAATGTCAAATTCTTCCCCTCTGTTTGGGAAGTTTTCTGTCATTAATTCTGTGAACAGCTTTTTTTAAGTCATTTGTATTTTCTCCTGCTACTTCATGGATTCCTATCAGCCTTATGTTATTCTTTGCATCATCTAGGAGTTGTTGGATTGATTTCTCATGATCCTCTACTGTTAGAGACCTCTCTTTTCAAGGTCATGACTACAATCTTATCTTCTATATCTGAGATTCTATCTTTGCATTCTTTTATTCTGTTGCATACACTTTCAATGGAGTGTTTAATCTCCTGGATATCTGTTTGAATCTGTTTTATGGATTCCATTTCTTTCCTATGTTAGGCATTTATTGTTTTCATTTCTTTCTTATGCTGGGCCTTCATGGCTTCTATCGTGGTCCTGAGCTCATCCATTTTTTTTTTCAGTTTCTAATCTAGAGTTCCCTATCATGACTTTCATTTTGCTCCCCAATTCTATGGTTATTTGGGAAATTATTTCTGTTTGAATTTTTCTAGAGCCTGATTGATCTGTTTTGTTACTTCCTGTGCTTTGAGTTCAGGGTGTCCTGGTGGTTCACTATCGGCCTTTTCATCCTCATTTGCCCTACTGTTTGCCATTGGTGAACTGGAAGTCTGTCTTTGTGTCTTGCTTAAGTGTTTTCTCATTTTAATTTTTGTTGTCGGGCTGTCCTTGGTTTAATCTCTGGGTTATCACCCAAATCTTCCTGATATAGTTGCACCCTAGCTCCTGGGTTTCTAATGACCCACAGACATTCTCATCTTCATAACATCAGAGAAAACAGCTCATCAAATCAACCACAATCCTTTATCCCAACTGATACAATCAGCAACACAATATGATCAAGCACAACTTGGAAATTGACCACTTGTGGTAGTCACTAGTCTATCACCCTTAAACCATGTGAATTAAATTGAAATCAAGAAGGAGTCCAAAACATGTCTGCAGTGAACAAACTTTTCAATGTAGTATATTTACCATTTAGGATGGGGGCTCAGACAGAGCTAGGACAAGAGGAGCAGATAAGTAAAAGAATTGGAGAAGGTTTCAAGTTAAGCCAGAGGACATAGAATGACAACACAATATTCAGGAAACTGTTGAATTTGAAAGTGATAGACAGAGTAGAAGTACAAGGACAAGAATATATCCCCTTAACAGCAATAGGCGCTCACTTTCCCTTGAACCCACTGACCCCTGTGTGAGGAAGAAAGACAGAAAAGAACATAAAGAAAAGAGAAAAAGTGATAAAAGAAGAAATCTGAGTTAGGGCAGGAGCAGAAACAGAAAGGGAGATTAGGGATAATATGGTAGAGCAAGTGACTGAGTTAGGGAAAGAGGGCAGAAAAAAGAAAGAATTTGCACAGTGGAATGAGGAAAAGAAAGAAAAAAAGGATTTCAAGGGTCTCTTTCAAACTATATCTCTGTTGTCATAATATACAACATGCGCAGCCATGTGCAGAACCAAGACCCCTGATCTCAGCTAGCTGGTGGCAGAACCTCATGACACAGACTGATCTCAGGCTGCAAGGCCAGATTGAGTTCCCTGACCTCCTGAACGGTTGAACTCCACACCATTCTACTACAGGTTTCCCAGTCTCTTTCTTTAAAGATGTTCAAAGTTGGGAACTCAGAAAAATACCCTTTTGACCACCTCTGCCTCTGCAGAGTGGGTCCAAAGACTGGAACAATCAGGAGGTCTGAGGGTGCACAGGGGGGCGGAGCTGAGGGCGTTGTGAGGGTTCAGAGGTGCCCATGTGTCTACCTTCCTGGAGCTGGAGCGATGGCGGCTCCCCACAGGAGAGGGCGTGGCTATCCTTCCTGGATGGGTGGGGGCGAGCAGGCCTACCTGGAGCTGGAGCAATGGTGGCTACTGGAGGTAGAGGGCCTGTCAGGAGTAATTTATACAGCAAAGTTACAATGTGAGTAGACTGGATCAAACTACAATCAACCTATATGATTGTAAATATAGCTGCTTAGCTATTACTGGTCCAGTGGGGAAGTGAGTCACATAGCAAGAGTCCACAGAAAGAATGAAGGTATTTGGGGAAAGGGATGGGTCTGGACACTCTGGTCACACACCTGGATGACTGACCGATGCCTATCTGGACTTCCCAGAAGAGGATGTGCTGTTATAATATAATTCCAAGTTGCTGGTTATCCCTTGGGGAGACATGTAAGTCTGGCCATTCCATTTTTATCTTGAGGCCTGGTCTTCTTCGGATGTGCCTCTAGCCAAAATTCTGATATTTCCATTGTTTCTGCTGACTTCTTTGAGAGCACAATCCCTCCGTGACTATTATTTTCTGTCTAAGTTAGCTGCCTGTAATAACATCAGGCACATTCTTCGGGACTAGAACCTTAAGAGAAAGTGATTCTTGGAAAAATAGTTTCCAATTTAAGTAATAATAGTCAACACTATAGTTGAAAACAACCTAAATGTTCATCAGTGGTAGAATGAGTACATAAATGCTAGCTTATTTATATAGTGAATTCCACCAAATGATTGGGGAAAATTTTGTTACAGGCAGTCATATGGATTAATCTCACAGATGGAGTATTGAGAAAGAGAAATTAAAAACAAAGAATATCAACAGTATTATTCCATCGACATGAAGTTCAGAAGAGGCAAAACAAATCCAGGGTGATAGATATCGAGCAATGAGGTGTCAGAAAATTTTTAAATCTCATCTGTGTGCTGCTTGTGTGAGTTACACATATGTAAAACTTAATGGGATCTTACCCCTAAGATTTGTGTACTTTACTGAAAGTTGTATTTTTTCAAATATAATCATTAGGCCACAAATATTCTTTAATCTCTGATATTTAATTAAAATATTTAGATTCTTCCATTTTTGTTTTGGAAACTCTCTGAAGAGTTTATACTCATTCTTACCCAGGACATCTGTCTTTTGCCTTTTTCTTTTTCTACTCCTGTTTATGTTCACTAGCATAATAAGAAGGTATGGAAGGCACTTTGATATAGTATGGGAAGTTTTAGACATATGTTTTGGGAGCCTGCAGCTCTAGTCTCAGCACCTCTGAAATAGTCTTTAGGCTAGAATAAGAAAGACTTAAAATCAGCATTTCCCAAACTTCTGCAGTAAGAATCACCAGAAGGGCTTATTTAAAATACACATGCATGTATTATTCCACCTGCTCTTCCAACTCAAGTGCCTAGAGGTACAAGATCAGCGCAAGAGAAACTACTGACACAAATATCTGTGCCTTGACTAGTTAATTTGACTGGCAACTTCCATTTGTTTTGTACCCACAGAATAAGGGAGTATTTCTTCCAAGAGTAACTACAGATTAATCATTAATGTTACAGTCAGAAATGAAGCTAGATTATTCTTGGGTAAAGGTTGGTGAAAAAGGAAATGAATATATGAAAGATTGAGAAAACACAGTCAATGCCTGAGTTAAAGTTTGGGGAAGAACTGCTTTATGTGTTGATAAAGTATTCAAACAGAGAATGCAAGAATTTTGCAAGGGAAGAGTCACAGGTTTTTCTCTCTTGTATTCACAAATAAAATAATATATTTTAGTGTTGCCTATTTTAGTATTCATGGCTGCTGGCCATTCCCTTTTATTGATTGATTGATAACACATTATTTCATTCTTCTCTTATCTCTTTGACTTAGCAAAACTAATACAGTATAAAATGCATCTATTCTCATCATGTTTATTTTTGTTCCTCTTCTGATAGGACTAAGTATGAAATGCTGGAGTCATTAGGGAGTTAATTTACTGAAAATTAAGGAAAAGTTTGCAGCAGTACCTAAAAAGTGACTCATTGATAATTTTTGCGCAAATTAAATTTTTTTTAAAGAAAAGATGGATTGATTTATCTTGAAGTAAAAAAGAAAGAAAAAAAAGAAAAAGAAAGAGGAATGACTTTAGCGAAGAGAAAGAGAATTCCCCAAATATAAATCACCAACATTTTTCTTGAGCTCCGCCTTTTAAATATCTTATAAGATCTTTTTTTAAAATTTTGGTACCAGGGATCAGACTCAAGACCTTGCACTTGCAAGGCAGGCACAGTGCTGCTGAGCTAAAATCCCCGGCCCTCTTATAGGATCTTTCTAGTTGAACTTAATGATGAAGAAACCCAAAATCAACATCTTTCTCATCTCAAATTCAGTTTTGTGATGACTTTCCTCTTCAAAGCATTTCAACTTCCCTAAGTTCCTCCATTTCCATTTACATAGTTTCCATACCAGAATAACAGCCAAAGTGTTTATTGATACTAATCTCTACCTTTCATATCTGCTATTTGGCCATGTGATTTTGAGCAAGTTACTTAATCTCTTGGAACATTAGTTTCTGTAAAAAAGGGATAGTAATAAGAATTAGAATAAATAAATATACAGTTTATATATACATACAATATGTATGTAATTCATATATACATTAACCTTGAATAAAATAGCTATCCAATAAATAGCAGCTCATTCATTCTGAAATGAGTTCTTTTTAGTCTGTGCTCAAGACATTGCATTCTTAACTAATACATGTTTGCAAAGTTAATTTTTCTTAAAGACCCCCATTTTCTCTGGCATTGCTTCATCCTGTCTCATGACTTCTAACAGATTGCTTTCACTTCCCCATTCTTTACCTTTTACGCAGTCATTCCTTTGTGTACCAGCCCATTCTTTTCCTATGCCTTCCAGCTCTGTATCTGAGAAGGCAGCTACTAAAACTGACAAGCACAGGGTTAAAACTAGTTGCTGTCTCCACCCCGCCTCCTCCAGTTTCCCCTTTTCACTGTAGGCTGGCAACTCTCCTAACAGTCTACTGAAGCCAAATCCTTGAGGAGAAAGAGAGTAAGGAGCCAGCCATGAATCCTTTCCAGAAAAATGAGTCCAAGGAAACTCTTTTTTCACCTGTTTCCACTGAAGAGGTACAGCCTAGACCTTCCAGCCCTCCAAAGTGGTCACCTCCGGTGAGTACCCCAATTCATTTATGCTTCTAACAGTAAATAGCCTTGTTTTTTGTCTTTCATCTTTGGCTTCTGGAAACTTCATGCTGAGCTGTATTTGGGTATTAAAAACTATTCTCTCATGCAGTTAAAATTCACCTGAAAACCAAATCTAAACAGAAGTTTCTTTTACTTAGCTGAAGCCAGCAGGAAGAGGGAGTCAGAGTTCTTCAGTTGGGATTCAGAGCTTTGCTGTAGATTTCACTGCATATTCTGAGTTCCTCTCGGGGAAAGAAAAGCAAGTTGAATATCCAGGGAAATTTGGCAAGCATTTCTGTCTGGAGAACTGTGTGTGATTGTTCCTTCTTTACCCAGCCTTTAGTTCTCCCTGTGTACAGAACCTTCTTCTGGATACTATCAGAAGTTTTAGAATAGATCCAATCTCTGTTACTAACTGTTCCCAGTTTTTAGTGGGAGATAGGGAAAAGAACACATAATGTTTTATATTATATACTTGTTAAAGCATTTCCAAATTTATTATTTCATTCAGTCCTCCCATCAAAAATCCTACAGAGAGGTTTTAGTAGTAATAGCCAATATTTGATGAGTTCTTCCTATGAACTAAGAAATAGGTATTACTTCTATTTCCTTGTAACAGAATTGAGATGCATGGAGACTTGATGACATGACCAATGTCAGTGTGTTGACACAGTCAGTGACAGTGTTACACAGGTAGTGACAGTATGTTAACTAAACTATACACTGTTTAACTTTCAAGCTGTGAGCTGGGAAGGTAAAAAATACAGCTTGTCGAAAAATCACAAGAGTAAAGAAGTTCAATTTCAAGTACACCAGTAAATTAGTAAATTTTCAAGCAAGTTACTATCATGTACTAACATATATTTGTAAATATCTATCTAGCTAATTAAAACTGGTCCCAAAGAATTTAACGATGCTTACACACACACACACACACACACACACACACACACAGACACACACACACACTTCATAGCTTATGAACTAAGTGGCAGTATAAAGTTTATAAAATTTATATTACAGTCTCAAAGATTGGTATCTCCATCCCACCTGTCACATTAGTTGAGCTACGGTAATAAGCAGAGATTTGAAGTAAAACGTGACATCCCTTATATTCTCACTGATCTACTGCATGAAATAAAATAGTTTTTCTAATGTCCAGTAGGACTATTATTAAAATGTTATAGGGTATCTATTGTAGAAAGAGTAGACATTTAATTTTACAAGATTTCAAAACTGTCTTCCCAAAGTCAGTGTGATTAGTTAGCTTAATTTTAGGAATCTCCATCCTCAGTATTGAGTTCTGGGCCTGGCTCCAGCAGTCTCTGAAGGAGAAGCCATCATATTGCCAGGATTCCTCCCAGCATGGTGAACAAGGTTGTGGGGGACAAGCAGGTTACTCCCTACAGGGAAGCTAAGCAGAACACTGACATCAGAATACCCTTGATATCAGGTACTTCATAGACCAGTTCTTCATTCTGCTCCTAGCAATAAGCATGATTATTCTCTTAACAAGAGCACCACCTTTTCATTTGGTACATATGGGAAGAAGAGCAGATCTTGGATCAAAAGATGCCTGAGCAGTTCCAGTTTAAATGAAGGACAAAGTAATATTTAGATTAGCTTCTGAATCAGCAATGTAAGCACTTCTGGTGTGATAGTAGCTATTTCATGGAGTAGAGACCATCACTCTATATTACCTACCATGGCTATTTAAAATAAATTAAATTTTCAATTGTGGAGCAATCTAATGGTTGAAACAGGAAAAAGCTCATGTTTAAACCATTGCCTTTTTCTTGCATAGAAAATCTGTGGCTCCAGCTATCCACTGAGCATTGCCTTCATTGTGGTGAATGAGTTCTGTGAACGCTTTTCCTATTATGGCATGAAAGGTAATTTTGTGTCCCAGAGTCTTTTCCACTCACATTCACCTCATGTTTGTAGCAACCTTGTCTCCTTAAATGTACTTGATTCCCTTTTCTGCTCTTTCTGCCTTAATACCAATTGGTCTTTTCCTTTGGCCAAGACCTCCAATAAATGCTTGATGAGATTTCACTTAATAACTTATGCTGGCCAAAATCCAAAAGACCTGATAGAAACCAGAACACAACCTGTGTGGATATAAGTGGAAAAGTTATTGTGTGAGTTCCATTCTTCATACGTCTTCTTCAGGTCTATATTTTTTCCTGGGAAAGAAGAGGAAAGGATATTGGACACATTATGCTATCTTCATTATTGGCCTAGAGGAGGCTGTGGTATACATAGATGGAAGGGGGAATATTGTATTGTATATTCAGCATAGCCCCATTTACTCTTATACTTCTTATGAACACTGCTTCAACTGCCTCACAGTATTCCTCAGGTAACTTCACTGATATGAGTATGGAAGGTCAAAACCACCTGCAAAGACTAGAGATCAAATCTATTTCTCCATGTATCATTTAATGCACCTGTTTTGTTTCATCTTTTTTTTTTTTAATTTCAGCTGTGCTGACCCTGTATTTCCTGTATTTCCTACATTGGAGTGAAGACACCTCCACATCTGTATACCATGCATTCAGCAGCCTCTGTTATTTCACTCCTATCCTGGGAGCAGCTATTGCTGATTCGTGGTTGGGAAAATTCAAGTAAGGAAGATAAGAGATTATATCTCCAGAAGTTTCAAAGATTCATTGTACAGAAGGTTATCATTTCTAATCTCTTGCCTCCAAGCAAGATCTTGCTTAGGTCATATGCAACAGATAAGAGTCTCTAACACTGATAGGACAGAAAGTCTAATTCTAATTTCACATACTTTTTAGTCAAGAGAGCTTTTTTTTTTTAAGTGTACTTTTATTCTTCCATTCAGTAAGGCCAAATGTTGTTTTGATCTCAGTGAGGGTTGAGATTGCTATCCACCAGTAAATTAGACACTCTAAAATAGCTACTTTCTCCATCTCTCCTCTGGGCTGAATCATTCTAACTCCTTTTGTGTCTTCTTATTGTCACTAGATGGGGTCCAAGGATGTCCCCCAGTGAAGGAATGGGGACCACAACTCACCCCCATGCATGGGGTACATTGAAGGCTTGCTGAAGTATGCTATAGAAAAGAATTACAAGACACATCAGTGAGAGGCATTTAAAGATTTATGAGGCAGAATTTAAAAAGTACACACTCAAAGAAAATAGAGTGCAGGCACTGGAGAAAGGCACACTATGGTCTGGGGCTGTGCACATTTTTAAGATTTAAGAATTTAGTAGTGAGTAGTCTAGAAAGGAAAAAAATATGTCACCATTTTTGTTTAAAAGTACAATTTGGAGAATATTAGAACTTCTCCCTACTTCCTATTTATCTTCTTTTTTCTTTTGTGTTTTCTTTAACATTCGATAGAAACTATGTATAATAAATTTTTACTGCATTTTACATAAGCAAGCCACTGCAGAAATTTACTTAGATTAGAAGGAAGATAGGGCCAGGGATTTAGATCAGTGGTTCTGTCACCTGCCTGGTAAGCACAAGTTCCCAAATTATACCCCTGGTACAATGAAAAAAAAAAAAAAAAAAAAAAAAAAAAGAGAAAGAAAGAAAGAAAGACAGTTAAGGAGGGCTCAGTCCTGTGGGATATTTTCTCAGAGTGGAAGAGTTCAGACTGCTAGATATAAGTGGATGTTTAAAAAAAGCTAAAATGCAGATCTCCTTGATTATCTACCTAAAATAACTTCTTTAAGAGTAAAGAAGTACAATTTCAAGAATTGGTAAACAATAGCTTCCTGCCTATTTCAGAACTACTTGTGCCCTCAATTCAGTTTTTCTTGAAGTATTTGTATTTTTTAAATTTATTTTTATCGAAGCATAACTTATATAAAGTACACAAATCCAGAAGTCTTAAGTATTAATTTTTACATAAGTCTGATGATCACTTAGATCATTCTGCCTAGGGTCTCTGTATGCTCAATATTTCCTTTTCTCGTGTTCAAATTCTCTCTCAGACCCAAAGTCTGTTCCTGTATCTTGATGCAGGTACAAATCTCTAATAGTTTTAAACAAACAAAATGCTTCTTGACCTTTCTTTTTTCTTATTACTATTACTCCAGAATTTGAAAAAACACACCTGTATGTGTTGCTTTCTCATTCTTTATTATCACTTCTTATAGTAGAGCAACAGAAAGCAATAGAATTCAATTAAATTCAGTATAATCTGATCAAATATAATTCAATAAATGTTTATTGTACTTTCTATTTGCCACAGAACTGTATGGATAAAGAGATGAATTACACATACTACATATACACATTTTCAAAAGCCTTAACACAGAGCAGACTGTGGACAAGAAGAAATAGTATAAATCATCATTTTTTCCTATTGAAATTATTCTAAGACCACTGATAATGATCTCTTTGTTAATGATTTCCAGTGACCTTTTCTAAATTCTTATTAATTTGAACTTATTTTATCAAGTCAGTGTGTTTATCACTCCTATCTTCTTAAAGTTTCTTGACCTTCTCTAACATTGTGTTTTCTTGTTCTCTTTCTTTTAAATTTTTGGACTGTTCTTTATCTGATCCTCTTTTGCTTGTTGCTTGATTCTTTTCTTAGTGTACTCATTTCTCCCAAGGTGTAACTTTTACCCTCTACTGTTTCTTCAGACCATTTCTTGGCAAATCTGGTGCTGTCTTTGTTAGATACATGGCGACAGTTATTCAAACTCTGTTTGAGCCTTGCATTCTAACTCCAGTATGCATTCCAGCTGCACTAAACATTCATTTTAGTAGTTTTTCTTTCTCCTGGTCTCTGTATATCCCACATCCAATCAATAATCAAGTTCTACCAATTATATCTCTCCAATATCTCTTACTTTATCTTTCTTCAACACCAGATCCAACTGCCAATAGTTGTCACCACCTGATTTTGGTCTGCCTGAAAAATGGGAAATGCAAAAGGACACCTAAAATGTTTTTAATGCTTCCTATATATTTTCCTACCATTAAATTGATACACTACTGTCAAATTAGTCTTTCTAAATGATATATGTTGTCATATTACTACTCAGCTCAAAATTCCTGGTGATTAACACATTGCCTACTAGGCTCACTCCAACTTACCTTTCTGTGTTTACTGTCATACTTGTTCCCTTTCAAGAATAGCTGCTAGAAAAAAAATTGAATACTAACACTTGCCTAACAATAGCCAAAGGCATCTCTCTTCCATGTTTGGTGCACTATTTCTACTTCATGGACTCCCTTTCCTCCCCATCCTTTCATGTCCAAACTTTGAAGGTTCAGCTCAAATACCACCTCTGGAATGTTCCCAGCCCTCTCTTTTTCACTAGTATCCAGGAGTAATCTAGTCTTCTCTGAATCTTTTTTAAAAATCAGGACAAAATAATTTGTTATATATTTTTATACACGGCACCTAGAATATTGCCTGATATATAGCAGGTCCACAAAAACTATTTGATCCTCAAATATAGGCAAAAGCCTGAGGATAGGTATGGACAGCTAGAATGATGACATATTGTTGGGGGTATTGGGTTTTTTTTTTCTCATTGAATTTATTGTTACATTTTAGGTATACAGTAAAGTTACATTCATCATTGGGATCTTGTACGTTTACATGACAGGTCTTGGTTCTCATTTTTTTCCCCTTATCCCTGCCCTCCCTTCACCCCCTCCTCCCCTCCCTATTTACAAATACTTTATTTCCTTTTTTTCAAAAACTCTTTTCAAGGTGATTTGGTATCTCTTTCAAAAAGGAAGTGATTTAGAGACAACATGGTTAGCTTGTTCTCTTTCACTTATATAAATAGAATAATAATGGCAATCCAAGGAAATAAGCACTTAGCTTTACCCTCCTGCTCCTGAGTTTTTAAGTTGGAGTAGGCTTCTTCTTCACCTTCTGTAAGTTGAACCTGCAGCCTTCTTTCCTTAACTAGATACGGGAAAACCGGAAAGATTTACGAATTCTAGATTGTAAGTTCTTCCTATCTCATTGTCCCCACAAGTTCCCCATGTGAATTTGGGGAGGGGGGTGCTTTTATTCAGATGTTATTTTAAGACTGAAAAACTTTCTTTAACCCTTGAAAGAGTCTTCATACCTTCAAAGAACACAATTTTCTGAGTTTGGTCAACAGTTGCTTAAAAAAACCCTTCCTGTGTCCACTATCTCAGAATCAAAGCTGTTTTAAGAGGAAAAGGACATGAGGAGTCCCTAATTCAGTATATAAGGAAGTCCCTATGTCAGGAGACAAGTAAGGCTTCCTTCAGGGCTATATGTAGGAAAGACTAACTAGTGGAAAAGGCTAGTATCAGTTGTGATTTCCATAAACATTTACTGAGGAAGTAACTACACCTTAGAGTACTATTTAATGTCACATTGCTTTTAAAGAAGAAAAACTTTCCTGGTCATAGTTCCTAACTTTTATATCCTGTAAGTCATGCCTATAAGTCTGGGCTCTTGACATTGGCAATCACTTGAAATCAGTTTCTTAAGTGTATCTTTAATGATTTTGGACAACTTCCCCACATTTTTTCTTCTGTGTGGTCAGAGTCAATCCTTTTCATGCAGGGGTACTTCTTCTGTCATCACTGTGCATGCTCCTTCTTAGTCCCTGCATGTACTCCTCAGTTCCCAAGCTCTCATTAAAAATGGGTCTGATTTTTAACATTCTTCAAGTAAAATAAAATTTACAGCCTCTTCCTCTTTTCTTTTTCCACAATGTTTGTGACTGAACGAATGCTAAATATAACCCCAAGTACTAACCTCTCTGGAGTTCAGTTTCATGATTTGTTCAATTCAGGATTGGCCAATTCTACATAAAATAGTTCTGAGGCCTGTGGATAGTGTTATAATAAGCTTATACTAAACCTGACTATTCTATTGCAGATGAGATCAGGCACACTCAGGTGGTATGGCCATACACTGATTATTCTATTTCAAATAGAAAATGTTCAAGTCTTTCTTCACATCTTTCTCCTCCTGCTATAGTTTCCAGCTGGCTTCCTTTTTAAAAATTATTAGCTTCCTGTTACATGCCTGGACTATTTCCTGTGAATCTTTCATCTAGATGGTTGCCTATTTTTGTCATAAATCACTTATATTTCTGTCAGTTATTCAGTCCAACAATTAAGTACAGATTTTATTTTCCTATCCAGACTCTATCATTCCAGCTAAGACTTCGTTTTATTCTCACTGATGATCCAGCATAGATCACCTCTTTTGGATTCACAATAGCTACCCCTTTTCAGCTTCTTTTTATTCCTTTTCTTTCTGTGTGTTCTTATTATTTCAACAAAGAGAAGTTTTCTCTAGAAGATGACACAAGGCCTTTTGGTAAAGCATCCCTCCTTCCCTAATTAGCTCTAGATTAGTCACCCAAATCCCCACTCCCACCCAACATTGTGTGTGTACCCTTTGAAGTCAGTTCCATGGAAAGCCAATCTAGGAAGATTAGACATTTAAAATAAGGAATCTACATCCTAAGATTTCTGGCATCTTTAGCCTCTTTTTGCCAAGTTTATTCCATTCTTTATATTTCAAATTAGCAAAAAAAAAAAAAAAACACTGTAAAATCACAGATGTAAACTATATAATTCCCAGGGCTCGTTGCAATACTGGTATAAGCAGTACATATCTCAATACATGGTCTTACTGAAATTCCTTACTCTTTTATATTTCCTACTTTCCATTCAGGTACCTTGGAAAAACAACAGAACAGGAAGAGCTCCCACTGACTGCATAATTTTTTATTATGACAGTCCTTTCTCACCTTTGGTAACTTGTCCATAAGGAAACTGTAGTGGTGATTACAATTAATCCAAGTGTCCAAATTTCCCAGGCTGAACCCAATAGCCCTTTGGCTCTCTCTCTCTGTCTCTGTCTTAGTGCTTTTTAAAGAGAAAGTTATTTGTGTTACCCATCCCTGTTTACTTGGTGTTTGTACTTCATCCCTCTTGCTTTCTAGAGCAAAAGACATATTTTTTAAGAAAAACACTTCAGGTCAAGGTATCTTGTTCTGCTGGTTTTACTGATTTAAAAGATCACCATTCTTGCTTAAAATGCACCCAGTTCTTATTCTATCTCTGTATGTTTGTATATATATATATATATATATATATATAGATAGATAGAGAGAGAGAGAGAGAGAGAGAGAGAGAGAGAGCAGGAGGGAGGAGGGGTAACTTGAGAGGAGAAGGAAACTGGAAAGGAATGTTACCTCCAAGTAAACACTACCCATGAAGAACCTTATTTCCTTTTCCTAGCCTGTTTACTTCATTTATTATCATTGCTATTTGCATTTCTCAGTTAATCATTCCTTCTTCCACTCCTTTCTTCTTCCCTTGTGTTTACTGAGAATGTATGAGTCCGAGTTTATACAACTCACATTCCTGAGTAACATGCAGACAGATGACTGATTTTAACTTTCTCCACAGGACAATCATCTACCTCTCCCTGGTGTATGTGCTTGGCCATGTGTTAAAGTCCTTGGGTGCAATTCCAATACTGGGGGGAAAACTGGCACACACGTGAGTAAAATCATGCAATCAACTGAGCCAATTTTCTTCTTCTAGACAAATATATGTGGTATTCATTACAAAGATTTTCTATTTATTTCATGACCAAAGATACTCCTTTATTTTCCAGTTACAGCTTTATTACCAAATTGGTTAGGGAAAAAAAAATTTGTGAGCAGTTGAATTCTCTTACCTTATCTGAGCTCAATTGTTTTATTAATTAAGCATTTGCATAATGCCTAGTTGGTATCATCTTCATAAAAACTCTTCATATGCTTGAAAATAAAACATTCACACCCTCCACATTCCCTTTCCTGTTCCTACATGAATCTGCATTTCACCAGGAATAGAAAAATATTTGTGTTTCCTTATGTTATTCGAGTCATATTAAATGCTTGGATATTTCCATTTATGCATAGTTACCTATATTTCCATGGCTGTGTCCCTTTTTACTTAAAATATCTTCAGTGTTTATAGTGCCAGAGGCATTTAATAGATTCTGTGTTTTGGTTCAGCCAGTAGAGAGGATAATAGTTATTGAAGAGGGAGGTCAGATGTATTCATGTTATAATGTGCCTATACATGTATTTCTTCTATAAATTAGGGATTTATTTGAAACTTAATAAATATTAGGTACTTCCTTATAGGTGTCCCTTAAAAATCATTTATACTACTTCTATTTATTATGGTGGATGTTAACATTTTATTTTATGGTTAGTAAAGTAATATAGGATTAGAGTCCATAAGATCTTTCTAATGAACTTTCCCTTTACCTAAAATAAGGTTGAAAACCAATGTGTTAGCTTTGGAGCCCCTGTAGTATCTACCTCCATTTGATGTGTGTACAAGATAAACAGAAGTACCAGGCACAAAATCTTCTCATGCAATGCATATTTTCTAGCAGAGGCTCGAACATCACAAAGATGTAAAGTGCTCATGAGTATTTTTGGGGGTGAAGGCAAGTGGAAAGTGCCTACCAGATAGAAATGTGACCAAAGAGTTTTACTCTTTTGTATACATTCTTCCCCTTCTGCAGCTGTGGTCCATCCCTACAACTGTGTAACTACATACTTAGCATCCTCACCTCTCAATTTCAGAATCCTGTCCTTGATTGGCTTGAGTCTAATAGCTTTGGGAACAGGAGGTATCAAACCCTGCGTGGCAGCTTTTGGTGGAGACCAGTTTGAAGAAAAGCATGTGAGATTCCTCTTACTTTTGTATTTTCAAGAATGTATTGCTAGTATCAAAAGGCGTTACCTGGCAGTTAGCCATTTACCAAGACTTAAGTAATTCACTGATTAGATTCTATCTGACAAGTTGTGGTCAAAGAAGATACTGATAATTAATAAAAATACTGAAACACCTCCAAAGGAAAGTAATCAGAATGGTAGCTAGACTAAAAGACATGCCATATGAGGAAAGGTTGAAGTAAATAGGGTTGTTTAATTGGGTAAGATAAGAATAAAGAGAATATTCTACTGTTTATATATATTGGAAGGATGTCAAAGCTTGAACATGACACTAATGATTAAAAACTATACGAGGTCAACTATATGCTTGATAAAAGGAAAAACTTCAAACAATACAAGTTGGAAATATGTTTCTCTCCCTTGAGATATTTAAGAAGAAACAGTAAGCATTTTGGGAATGGGAAGTGATAAGTAGTGTAGAAATGATTTAAGTATGTGTAGCTTTGAAATGAAACAGAATTGTAACTGGAATGAAGCAGGAGTTTCTATCGATGGATTGGCCTGGCTTGTTCTTCCTTTCTTGCTTAAATGCTGTCTATCGTCAGTGGAGGGAAACAAAGAGATATGACCATGGTAAAATGCCCACGTGAGGAAAGAGTGACAATAGTGGGAGACTAGTCTATTCTTAAATTAGCCAACATTTATGGCTTCCTCTCTCTTGCTCTGTTTTTTTTTTTTTTTTTTTTTTTTTTTTTTTTTTGGTCTTCTTTATATATCTACTCTTTCTATAGCTATTTGTTAAATTCATTATTTCTCCACTTCTCTTCTCTCCCCGCCCTCTCTCTGATGCAGAGCCTGCTATCTCTTTCTATTTCTGTTTTCTCTCTGCATTCCTTTTTCAAGAGTTTCTCATCGCTCAGACTATTTGGAGTATCTTATACTTTTTATCTGTCCAAAGATCCACAGATCATCATTACTTGCTGACTTTGGAGCAATAACTAGCATTTGGTAAGTGGGATTCTATGCTCAGAGACTATCCAAATTAGATTAGTGGAATGGAACAAGAAGCAGAAGAAAAACTAATTGTGAACTGAACACGGGGAAGGACTGATTGTGCTACTGTGTGAGGAAAAGATCTGAGACACCAAAATGAAGCACAGCAAGACATAATGACTTACTCAACTGCAAATTCTCTTGACAGTTATATAAATGAGTAGCCAGCCTACAAATATATTTCAATTAATAGGACAAACCCACATCCAAGATTCTGCTGGCTACTTCTAAGTCCATGGATGTCCTTTCATATTCTCTAGCAGATCTCTGTTAAGTACTACTTGAACTGTCATGCTTGATCAACAGTTCACAACACTAGCCTATATTGCCCTATTCCTATCATACTTCAAAAATCTATTGTTTAACCAAGTCACCCATTTAATTAATGTAGTCAGTAAACATCCATTGAATTTCTAATATGTGTCAGATGCTAGGCTAAGTACTTAGGGATTACAGAAATGAGTAAGGTATAATTTTTGCCCTGAAAAGACTCATGACTTACTGAAAGAAACAGTACAAATAATTATTGGTATAGATATGTACAGGACATAATAGTGACATCAAAGATTATCATTTTTGCCCATATGAAGGGTTAAAAGAATGTTAAAGTTTTTTTGTACTGGAGATTAAAAGGTGGCTAAATGTTTGTCTCGGGTCAGCCAGCCATTAAATATCTACCATGGAGAAAAAAATATATATCTGTCTTTGTATGTGCGTCTCTCTGAATTTGAATGAGTGGGAATGGAGCTAGGAAGCACATTGCACTGATGATTTATCTTGTTTGTTTCAGGCAGAGGAACGAACCAGATACTTCTCAGTCTTCTACCTTTCCATCAATGCAGGAAGCTTGATTTCTACATTCATCACACCCATGCTGAGAGGTTAGGATCATTTCCTGTGGGTCCTGTCCAAGGCTTTATTCTAGCTAGCTAAGAATCTGTTCCAGGTTCTCCACAGTCCATCTTCTCCTTTTATAGGAGTTTTGGAATCTGTGAGAACTTTTTGTCTTGATTTGTCTGACCCAAAAGGATTATGGATTAAGTGCAAAAGAAGGACAGAGGATGGCTATGTCTACATCAAGAATCTGATCTTGAATCTGATCTTGAATAGCCTTTTCTCAAAGATTCAAGATTCAGAGTTAACCCCTCCTCATTTTCTTCAGGAGATGTGCAATGTTTTGGGGAAGACTGCTATGCATTGGCTTTTGGAGTTCCAGGATTGCTTATGGTAATAGCACTTGGTAAGTATAGTGGGGCAAAGGAAACTAACAATGACAGATAATTGATGCCAAGAAAGCATCATGTAATTGTTTTACATAAACTGTTTTATACAATCTTCACACTCATCCTGATAGGTGTTATTTCAGGGGATTTCCCCCTTGGATTTGGAGATAAATTATGAAGTCAGATACCTTTAAAAAAAAAAAGTGCCCAAAATTACACACCTTAGAAAGCTTCTTGGGGAGTTTAAAGAAAGACTAATCTCTGGGCCATATATATATGTAGGACCAGTCAGGGGTTTAGGCACTATAATTTTTAAAATATCTCTGGTGATTCTAATATACTGTAGTAAAGTTTGACATTGCATTGCTCTTTACAAAATAAGAGGGAAGGTAATTAGTCTTCCCCTAAATTAGTTTACATCATCTGCTGCTTATTCATTTGGTAATTAGAAGATATTTTCAATTCTCTGGGCCTTTTAAAAAACAATTCTAGCTTTAGCTATTTCCACTCTGCTCTACAATCCCCTTGAAGAGTTTTCCCTCAAGCAAAGAGAGCAAGAGAAGTGGGATAAGTAGGTATAAACTTAGATCAAGTGCCATTCTCTTTATCAGTTCTGAGAACCTAATCCTGTAAGAAAAGGGGAATGTGTGGGGTTGCATAGTTTAAGCAGCCTAAGGGGAAATTTGGACATAATTGTTTGTAATCATTGGCCTGGAAACCTGCTCTCGCTCTGAGCCTTGGAGTGACACTCCCCTGGAAGATGTCCATTCTAAACACATAGCACTCCACAGAGGAAAAGGAGCCCAGAGACCCAGTATTCAATCTGATTACTTTCTATGGGGGAGTGGGAATTGGCTGATAGTAATACTCAGAGTCCCCATTGCCAAGGAAATGTGTTCCAGAACAGTGATACACTCCTCCTTTCTATACCAAATGTTTTCCCAAGTATTTTCTTAGTTTTTCCACTGAGTAGTATACACCTCCTTCTCTATATCATTGCACAATAGTAGAATTTATGTATGAATTAATGAAGCCCAAAAGAAATGCTGAAAGTGAAATATTTCATAAATTATGAAATGTTAAGTGCTGTCATTATGTCTATTATGGGACAGGGTCTTTGTTAGGTATTGAGACCAAATTGGTCAAATAAATAGCTACAGAGTCCATGCTCTTGAGGAACATAGTCCAGTAAAAAAAGGAAGGCAAACAAGTAAAGAGGAATTTAAAATACAGCATGGTCAATATGGGAAATATAGAGAAAAGTATGGGAGTTTATAAAGGTCTGATTAAGACTTTGAGGAAATGTTGCCACATATGGTGGCACATGCCTCTGATCCAAGCACTTGAGAGGCTGAGGTAGGAGAATGACTGTGAGTTTGAAGCAAGTTTGGGCTACACAGTAAATTTAAGGCCAGCTGAACTACATAGTGAGACCTTGTCCCCCTCAAACCACAAAATATCAACAGTAACATCAACCTAAAACATTCAGGGTGGTAAAAGATTTGCCTAAAGAAATCATTTCTAAGATAAGACTTCAGACATAAATAAGAAGGAATTCATCAAAGAAAGGATTGTAAGTAATGCAGAAAGAGGACAAAGTTTAAGACAAGAAGATCCAAGATAGTATGACATATTCAAAGGCCTTCAAAGAATTAGGATTAGCTGGAGAATAAGTAAGAAAGATAGAGATATTGGTAAAAACACGACAAAGAGGGCTGGGGATTTAGCTCAGTGGTGAAGCCGCCTGCCTCACAAGCACAAGGTTCCAAGTTCCCTGGTAACAAAACAACAACAACAAAAACAATACAAGGAAATGTCTTTTAAGCCATTAAGAATCTACAACTTCATTGTGAAGATGGTGGGGATCTCCAAAAGGTTTTGAACAGAGGAATGATTGTTGGATTTTCATTTTTCGATGATGTCTCTATAATGTGGAGAAAGGATTGGGTTAGGATAAGGCAAGGGTAATATTTATCCTAATTATTGCATTTATCATTCCCTTAAATTTTATGCTTGAGTTGAGTGCCTCACCCAGCTCACTTTGTCCTGGCCTTGGTAGAACTAACAACCTTAAATGATTAGATACATGAAATAAGGGAGAAGGTAAGTCTGTGCTGAATGCATGGTTCTAATGTAAACAACTGGATAGATAGTGGGATCATGGATAGACAGTGAGAGAGAATGGTTTTGGGAAATATTGATAAATTTTATTTTGGACATGTTACATTTTAGATGTTATTAGACTATTTTATTGTAATCACTAAATAGTTATTTGGAAAAAAAACAATTTAAGACTCAGAGGGATTGTTTGAGCTGTAGATACAGAGTAAATGGGTAGGCATTAAAACTTGAACATAGATAACTAAGAAATAATAGTAATAAAAAGAAAACCCTAAGGAATACTAACACTTAAAGGACACATAAAAAGAAGAGGTTTACAAATGAAACTTAGAAGGGAAAGCCCAAGAGGCATTAATGCTATCTTGGACATTAAGAGGGTTTTACGAAGGCATTCATTTGGACAAATGTTATCGATAAATAGCATTTTAAAAACAATTAAAGTAAACAAAGTAAAATGTCCACAGGGCAATGCTCTTACTGAATGCTGTTTGAAGAAACTGAGAGAATGAACAAAGAAAAAGTGATAAAATGAGTCTGACTGAGAGAAATGGTAAAATTAGGAAGTTAAAGAAGAAAAACAAATGATTATGAATTCTGGTTTTATAATGACACTGGGAAATACTATTGGCCACCGAGAAAGAATAGCAGAGCCTCTATTCAAGGGGAATCTTGCAGGTGGGAATTTGTAAGGCAGAAACTACATCTGGAAGGAAATCAAGATGGAATCTTTCCACCATTAATTTTAATTAAATTTAGTAAACTTAAAAAAAGATAATACTATTTTATAATTATAAAATGCTAGTTAATTGCCACTTGGAAAATAAAAGGAAAAATAAGTAAAGATGTGAGTATGGGAAACAGAATTAGCTTAAGAACAGAAATAGCACAGAATAGGATTTTCTGTGGAAATGATGGGTAGTGATTAGAGCCCAAAGTACAGAAAGAAGAACAGTGAAACGTAAGATGGGAAATAGTAGGTTAAAGTGCACTACTCTGAGGATAGGGCCATGTCTCCTCCTTTCACCTTTATTCCCAGAAGTATCTAGTACAATGTGTGATGTAAAACAAGTGGATGAGATGCTTTACAGTGGTTAAGAACATGGAGTTTTGATTCAGATAAACCTCAAGTTAAAAATGCTACTCATGGCAATTTTAGCTGTGTAATCTTGTATAAGCTACTTAATTCCTTTAACTTTCAATTTTTAATGTATAAAATGGAAGTAGTATATATTTAGGCTAAATCAGTTGAGATATATAAAATACTTAATAATTTACCTATAAATAACTCTTAATGGGTTGTAATATAATAAGGAATTTAAAAGACCTTTCTGCTAGATATTTGGGATGGAGAGATACTAGAAAGGTTATATTTTGGCATCAGATTAAGGGAAAAGTGACTAGAAAATGAAAAACAAGTTGATGGTCATTTTAATAATCCAAGGTAGGAATTGTGACATCCTAAACAGGTTAGTAGCAGTGGTAATGGAAAAGAGGAGGCAGATAGAAATACAATGAAGAAAGAGAACCAAGAAAGTTGGTAACGTCAGATATAAAAGTAAACAGCATAGAACGAGAAGCCTAGGACGATTTCCATTTCTCTGATCACATGAATGTTTCAACAGATAGATACCTCTTAGCAATTGACCATTTTATCTTCGGTTGGTTCCCATAATTTATATAACTTCGAAAAACAGGAAGCATAGGTTAGTTCTCTCTTTATGCCAGGCATTGCTACAGCTCGGCAGCCTGTCCTTAAATATTGAATGTACTGATTAGTAGCTAAGAACCTTGTTTGTGTATCAACTGCAGTTGTGTTTGTGATGGGAAGCAAAATGTACAAGAAACCACCTCCTGAAGGAAACATAGTGGCTCAAGTTATCAAATGTATCTGGGTGAGTCCATGAATGTTTTACCTGTCTCTTCAATAAAAAGAAGAGATCCTGTGTGACCATATGGGTCTTCAAACGTGTGCATATATTTTCCTTACTGATCTTTGTTCTCTTTTCATGTCAGCTGACAAGCTGAGATCAACTCACCTTCCTCCATGCCTCTACTTAACCATTAAGAAAAAAAGAACACATTTTTTTCTTTTCCTTTTTCCCCACTTTTTTCTTAAATTGTCAAAACTGTTAAGATGTGTAGTTATATATAACGTCAACTGGAAATAAGGAAAGTCAAAATTATATACCTCAAAGATTCTGAAAATCAATGCTTAATGCTATTAAAGAGTTGGAGTAAGTTACTAAAAGTATGTGCATCTGAGAGAAGGGATAATGGGGTGGAATGTACAAAGGATGACTTCTCTTTGTTTCTTGGCGGATAACTGCGCTCTGCCCTAGTTTGCTATCTCCAACCGCTTCAAGAACCAGAACCGCGCTCGGAACGTTCCAAAGCGTCAGCACTGGTTGGACTGGGCAGCCGAGAAATACCCAGTAAGTTGAAACTACAGGAATATTTCATGGCTCTACGGAGTCTTTCAAACGGAATTTCTTCCGGTGTGTTTGACCTCTTCTCTTACTGTTCTGGTGTACTTCTGCTGTAATCAAGAAAGCCACTTTGGGAACTTCTGGAAATTGTACCTCTTCTTTCTTCTTCCCCGCACGCAGAAGCAGCTCATCATGGATGTGAAGGCATTGACCAGGATACTGTTCCTATATATTCCATTGCCCATGTTCTGGGCTCTTTTGGATCAGCAGGTAAGAATAGTTCTTTTCAGAGCTACTTATTTATCCAATTATTTTCCTTTCCCAGGAGAGAGATTTCTCATAATAGCATCTGTTTGCCCTAGGGCTCACGATGGACACTGCAAGCCACTAAGATGAACGGGAATTTGGTAAGTAAAAGAAATTTTCAGACGATTATTTTCATCATCCATATAAGGAAAAATATTTTATTTGTGATTTTTGTCTGAAAACTAAGTCAAAACCATTAGAGAGGTGTGTTATCCTGAAGGCATTTATTCTAAAGGCACTACATATGCAAAGATTAAAAAGAAAACTAGTCTCAAAGTAAAACACTAAAATCTTGTCCTTAGAATCAGGAATGGAAAAAGGATGGGAAACATTTAATGGTGTATATGAAGAGGACAGCAAATAAATGACATAAGCCTGGGGTGGTGACTTTTTCCCTCCAAGACATCATGACAGTTGGTCTTCTTGTTGACTACCTGGAAAGAAACTTTAGAAGCATTTTATGTCAGTGAAATTCATCATCCAACCATAATCTTGTCCTTCTCATTATTGCTGCTTATAACTGTGGTTGCAGAGATTAATAAAAACACACCAACTCTATTCTCTCTCTAGCTAAAGAAAATACAGTACCGGTTGAGCATCATTAATCCAAAGATGCAAAATTGCAATTATTCCAAAATTCAAACTTTTGAGCATCAAAATGGTGCTGAGTGGAGAATTCCATACCACCAAACTGTTTAATGAACAAAAATATTACAAATATTTTATAAAATTATCTCTTTGGCTATGCTTCTGAGGTGTATTGAAAACATAAATGAATTTTGTCTATAGACTTGGATCTCGTCCCCAAGATATTTCATTCTGTGTGAAAATGTTTCAAAATCCCGAGCATTTTGGATAAAGGACACTCAATATGTACTCAGAAAAGAATATTCTCCCTTAGGCCCATCTGCCCTTAGCCAACATAGTAAGAAGCCATCCAGAGATCTATTCTCAGCCCTAAATATCACTATGGGCAAGACCTATCAGGTCCTTGAACCAAATACCTAATACATTTTGTATATGCTTCTTACCTACTAATCACCAAGGTGATTGATCTTCTGCTACCAATTAATGGTAATTTATTATAATGTTTCAGGGTTTTTTTGTGCTTCAGCCAGACCAGATGCAGGTAGGAGACTTATCTATGTATTTCTTTCTTCATCTGTGCTTCTAACTGTCAGATTAACAACCCTGATATGGTGTGTTTCTCCTTGTATGCTGAAGAAAGCCATGCACAGAGATAAAAGCCTTCTCTTTAAATCTTATACCTTCCCTTCTATCCTCTCTTAAATAGGTAGCTCCTGTGTAACTTTAGAGAGAGTGAGTTTGAGCCTGTAGGTAAAGTATAAGCGCTGGATTTTTCTATGCCAAAGTAATATAATGGAAATATTGTCACAGAAAAGTGTATAAGATTTTGTTATGTGAGCAAAGTTTATTTATAACTTCTAGTCCATTCTTTAGTTCCTCATTCAATAACCCCTAGTTCTTCTCTCCTTGCTTTCTTCTGGCTGTGACATGTCCCTCTTGAGCTGTGAAACTGAAGAAGATAAACCAACAATGAGAAAGAAAGCTCCTAATTTGATTAGTAGAAAAAACAGGCTAAAAAAGAAACTAGTCCTTTGGGATATTTGGAAGCTAACACGTAGTTACAGGAAATATAGTCTTGGGTGTAAAGGGACTGGGAAATGTGGACTCATTCTGTACTTACAAAGGTGAAAGTGTGTATGGTTGTGGGAAAGTACACTTGAGCAAATGAAAGCACATGCTCACTCATGAGGAAACACTGTGGCCAATCTACTTTACCATGGTGTTACAGGTGCTAAATCCTTTTCTGGTTCTTATCTTCATACCATTGTTTGACCTTGCCATTTATCGGCTGATTGCCAAATGTGGAATCAACTTCTCGTAAGTACATTACTCCAAACTGTCTCAATCTTTGCCCAGTTTTATAATGCTTCATCATCAGTATGTTTCTGTTTAATGTTTTGGTTCATCATTTGGCAGCTTTTATTTTTTCCTGTAGTATTAAGTGTTTATTATACTGAAAAGTGGAATTAGATCTAACTACTGAAAGATAAAGCCAGTACTCTGTACTTAAGGATATGATGATGAAGGAGTAGGTTTACACCTTTTGAAAAGCCAAAAATACAGTATATAGGATTAGGCTCCTAAACTAACTTGCTTCATTTTTTAAAAATGAATGATCCCTCTTCAAAGAAGTACAGAGCCTTTAATAACAATTCATTCCTTTGAGTTTCTGTTTGTCTCCATGAAACAAATGGAGACCTGATAGGACTACAGATAGAATTGGTCCCAGTTACTGTTTCTCCCCTATTCTAAATAGGAATTATTCTTTGTAAGGTTTGGCAGAGGAGAATTTGAAACCTACCTTCATTTGAAATTTAGTAGCAATTTAGTTGTGATGGCAAAGTGATGACCACTTTATCACATCCAAATGGTCTTTTTTCAGTTACTCATTCACTGAACAGATATTAGGGCATTCAGAACTGAGTGCCATACAAATGTAACTCAAGCACAAAACTTTCCCTCAAACAGGACTTGACTGATAAGTAAAGAAGTTAGAGCATATGCTGGAATAACTATTACATGGTAATACATGTTAATTGATCTACGAAGGAGAGATTGAGATGCTGGGCAAGTATAGAGAAGGAATAGAGTCCTTTCTGCAGCCAGGGTCAACAAAGACTTCTGAAGAGAAAAATGAGTTCAAGTCTTTACAACAACTGGTACATAGTCAATGGTTGTATTACTGTTACTTTGGTATTACGTTATAATGGATAGAAAAATCACCATATAAGCAAAGTAGGAAAATATGGTATATTAGTTCTATGTGACTCAAGTAAAAGGGAGAAAAGATGTATGAAAAGGAGATCTAGGAAGTACTTTGGAAAGTAATTGGGATTAAATGAGGAAAGGTCTTCTGTGACAGTTTAAGGCATTTGGATTTTATACTCTATAGCCTAAAGAATAGATATAATTGTCTTTCCCTGTCCTCTGCAGATCACTTAGGAAAATGGCTGTTGGTATGATCCTAGCATGCCTGGCATTTGCAGTTGCAGCTATTGTGGAGATAAAAATAAATGTGAGTTCAGTAAATCCTAAGCTCCAGAAGGGCAGAGCTTATGTCTTGGTCATTCTTCTGATTTGTTCAATCTTGGTTCCTTGGGACCTAGCTCAGTATCTGTTTTATAGGAGGTGCATAGTAAGTATTCATGATAAATGAGCAGATACAGGGTAGCACAGCAAGGCAAAATGAGGCCCACCTCCCACCTGAGTGATGCAGAGGTTATTTTTAGGGAATTTCCGAACACTAATATTCAAGACATTTGGCCACTTCTAGGGTACATGGGCTTATATGATGCCTTTCCAAATTTTTGAACAAATTCCTCTTGGCAGCCAAATGACCACTTTTGGGAATAAGTAAATAAGCATGAGTTCGTGACCTGACATTAGTGCTTGCTACATTGACTTGGTGTTTCCCTTCCAAATTGCCTTTAGGTTTTCTAAATCAAATGCTCATTAGAGAGAGAAAATTGTGTCCTCTCAGCTAGATAGGATAGGCTCTGAGGGATAGGACTAAAATATGAGTGCTCATTGTATCTGAAGGGTAATTTGTTGGTGATTCTAATAGATGTTATCTGTCCTAAGGGAATGGCCCCGCCTCAGCCAGGATCCCAAGAAATTTTCCTTAAAGTCTTAAACTTGGCAGATGATGAGGTGGAAGTGACAGTGCTGGGGAATGGAAATAATTCTCTTCTGGCAGAGTCCATCAAATCCTTTCAGGTGAGGTATGGACCTGAATGAATTAGACCCTCTATGTGTTTATTGACATTGATTTTTTTTTTTGTCATTGTCTCATATGCACTTTCCCATGTCCTTAGATAATCTTTGATAACCTGACTTTAAAGGGCATATAATATTCCATCCCATAGTCTATTTAAGCCTGTTTATACTAAAATTTTTATTATATATAATCCTATAATAAACAGTCTACTCGTAAATCTTTATGCATGCCTCTAATTATTTCCTATGATAGATTCTTAGAAATGAAATAACTAGTTTAAAGGAAAAAGTTACTAGAAGCACTCATCCTGAGATGCCCAAAGATTGTAACGTTCCTGCTGGGATAGAAAATGGGTGTAACAGGCACTTCATTCTACAGAAACCAACACACTATCTCAAACTGCACCTGCACTCAAAAAGCCAGTATTTTCACTTCCATCTGAAGTATCACAATTTGTCTGTCCACACTGAACACTCTGTAGTGGAGAATAACCGGTACACTGTGATCCTTCATGCAGATGGGAACATTATCTCCAGCATGATGGTAAGTTGAGGAGTTGCCTAAGTTCCAAGCTGTCATCTGACCCATTAGTGTCTTTACCAAGGATCTGTCTGATGATCAGATGTTCTAACTGTGGGATCCTTTTTGTCAGTTACTGATTTTTACTTTCCTCTGTTGTAGGTAAAGGATGCAGAAAACAAAACAAACAATGGAATTACAGCTGTCAGGTTTGGATGTCAGGCAGACTCTGGGCCACTCTGTCTCTTGAATCTTGGGTCTATTTGATCTCTGGAGCTTCAGATGAAGAGGCCTTACAATTTATTTGTTCTAAAGAGGAATTATCTCCTCTAGAAGTCTTGTAATTTTCTCTCTGGTGAAAACAGAAAGTACCAGTTATTTTCTTGAGAGCAGTATTAATGAATAAAATTTAGAAGAAATTTTTGCGGTGGGGCACATAGGTTATCTTCAAACAGGAAAGAGCAAACATATCTGTCTCTCACTGTCCTGAAAAATCCTTCAGATGCCAGTGCCCCTCACATTCTAGGGGAGATGAACAAAACAACATCTCCTACCAGCTAGATATGGTAGCACACATTTCCAGGCATTTGGGAGCCTGAGGCAGGAGAACAGAAAGTTTATGATCAGCCTGGGCAATACAGCGAGACCCTGTATCAAAGTAAAATTTTTGAAAAGGTAGGTGTCACATGCCTGTAATCTCAGCACTCTGAGAGGCTGAGGCAGAAGGGATGTAAACTCAAGCCCATCCTGGGCAATCTAGAGACTTAGTGAGACCCTGTCTTGAAATAAAAAATTTAATATGGGATGGGGATGTAGCCCAGTGTGAAGGCCCTGGGTTTAATCTTCTGTGCAAAAAAAGGAGAGGAGGGTTTGGAGGAGGGTTTGGGGTAGAACACTAGTCTAGCATGAGTTCAACTTCTACTTTTATCAGGTGTCTCTTTTGGATGTGTGTGTGTCTGATATGTAGCCAATTTCTCTACCCTCAGGTTTATTAACACTTTGCACAAAGATGTGAACATCTCCTTGGGTACAGATGGCCCCCTCACTGTTCATAAAGACTACGGTGTGTCTGCTTACAGAACAGTCCCAAGAGGAGAGTAAGAGCATTGCCCCTCTGGACATTTTACTTTGTTTACTTTAACTGTTTTTAAAATGCTATCTTTGTATATAGGTTTATAAATTTTGAGTATAGACAAATTCCTGGTTCTTTTCAATTCTGATATACTTTAGTCTTGCCTTTTTTCTGCACAGCAATATTGAGCTCTCGGGACTATAAGTTTTCCTATTCTGGTACATCACAATAGTAATTGGATAGCTATCCTGTGTGGTTAAGATGGCCCATCCCCGTGAAGTTTGCAGTTTATTATGCATTCTGGCTGCTACTCTGTGGTACCTCTGATGGTACTTTATTACTTAGAATTTTCTGTGTTATGCTGTTCCACTAAGTCATAAGACTTGCATGAGAAGAACTTACCTGGGCCTGAAATCCACCAAGGAATGTGATTTGTGCCATGTTTATTCAGTTTTAGGATAAAAACAACAAATAATAACAATAACAAACACCTGATAGGCAATAAAGGGCAATAACTTAGCATAAAAATAACTTCCTCCTAAAAGCATTTCTCTTCAAAGAAAAAGGGCGGCTGTCTTGCTTCCCTCACCATCTATCAGTACAATTGAGAACACTCTTTACCCTTGGCGATGGGAGTATTTTGTAAGTTGTGCTGTTTATTCTAATCTAAACGAATTCTGTCTCAGATACCCTGCAGTACCTTGTAAAACGGAAGATAAGGAATTTTCTCTGAATCTGGGTCTCCTAGACTTTGGTGCATCCTATCTGCTTGTTATCAGTAATGTAAGTAATAGCTCACAACCACCTCCCCTCCCCTTTGCCTGTCTGGTCTGTCTTTTTTTCTCTTTTTCTCCCTCTCTACACACACACACACACACACACACACACACACACACACACACAGTGAAATCCTCTTGGCAGAGACAAAGGGCAAGGACTCTGTGGCAAGATTGGATTGCCAGTCATTTCTCTTGTAAGGTAATAGGTTCCTACAGTGACTTTAGAAAGCTCACTCTATAAAGTATGAAAGGATATAGGCAGCAGCAGCAGGCAAAGAGTATTGGGGAAAAAGAGACACAATTTGTCCTGAGCCATCACTATGTGTTCACATAGTTTGTTCCAGACTCATTATGACTCTAACAAACCAAAGATTATTATGTAAAATTATTTATGTCTTCTTGGCTGGCCTCAGATGCAGGTCTGCTAGCTCTTTGGAGATTTGATCAGCTACCATATCACAGCCTGAAACACCAAGATTGGTGGTAAATGTCAATCTTGACCCAAAATTTGGGGATCTGTTAACTGTGGTCCACCAAAAGCCATCAGGGCAGGGTAACTCTGAATCAGGGTAACAGGAGATTTTATTAGGGAAGGCAGGTTAGGGAGAGAGGAGAAAGAAGGAGAGAGACAGGAAGAGAAGGAGAGGTACGGAGAGAGAGGAACAAAGAAAGGAATGTCCTTTTATTGGTTTTGGGCTGGGCTATTGCTTATTTATGAGGATGAATTTTACTTTTGATGGGGACTTTGAATTCAATTTTCTTATTTCACTACTTTTATTTTGTACAGGGTATCAAACTGGGGACCTTGCACTTGCAAGGCAGGCAGCTGCACCACTGAGCTAGATCTGCAGCCCTATTTCACTGTTTTTGACTCTATTAAAGATAAAGAGTGGATAAAGGAAAGAGGGAACATCTTTAGAGATGAGAACTCAATCTGTAAAATTTTATTTATTTTACTGTTTAGTGAATTTAATTAGCTTGATCCTTTTAATTATTTATTTTTAGAGTAGGTTTACTCAGGTACAGTTCGTATGCCATATAATTTACCCTTTTAAAGCATACAATGGTTTAAAATATGCAATATATTAAATATATGTTGATATATATTTAATATACATAGAGAAATAATATTCAACAATAAAGTCATTAACTACTAATATATTTACATAGTCGTGCAATTTTTAAACACTGTTCATCACCTTAAAAACTTCCACCCACTCCCCATTTCTTCCCACCACTAGACCCAGGCAACTGCTTGTCTACTTTGTGTCTATAAGTTTTCCTATTCTGGATATTTCATATAAATGGAATCATATGCCATGTGACCTTTTGTGTTGGTCTTCTTTAGTGTAGCATGATTTTCAAGGGCCAGTCATGAAGTCACATGCACCATACTTCATTTCCTTTTAAGGCCAAATACCATTCCATTGTATAGATATGCCACATTTTATTTATTCTTTCATCAGTTGATGTATATTTGTATTGTTTCCACTTTTGACTTCTATAAATAATGCTGTTATAAATCTTTCTATACATGTTTTTATTCTTTCAGGTACATATCTAGGAATGGAATTCCTGGGCCACGTAGTAACTCTGTTTAACCTTTTGTGGAACTATAAGAATTTTCTAAAGTGACTACACAATTTTACATTCTGACCAAAAATGTACATATGAGTTATAATTTCTCTACATCCTCACCAACACTTGTTTTCTTTCTGGTTATAGCCATTTTAGTGGATGTGAAATGGTATTTCTTTGTGGTTATTATTTGCATTTCTCTGATGGCTAATGATATTGAGCATCTTTTCATGTACTTTTTGGATATTAGTATGTCTACTCTGGAAAAATACCTGTTCAGGTCCTTTGCCCAATTTCTAATTGGGCTATTTGCCTTTTTCTTATTGGGTTGTAAGTATTCTTTATATATTTTAGATATGTCTGCTATTGGGTATATAATTTATAAATTCTCCCATTCAATAGATGGGTTGACAATTAACTGTCCTGATGTTGCCTATTGAAACACAAAAGTTTTAAATTTTGGTTAAGTTCAGTTTATCTACTTCTTCTTAGGTTGGTTGTGGTTTTACTATCATATGTACAGAAAACATAGCCTAATTCAAGTTTGCAAGGATTCATGCCTATAGTTTCCTCTAAGAATTTTATAGTTTTAGACCTTGTATTTAGATCTTTAATTCATTTTGAGTAAATCTTACAAGTAATGTGAGCTAAAGGGCCATCTTCATTCTTTTGTGTGTGCGTATCCAGTTGTCCCACCATATGTATTGAAAGGACTGTTCTTTCTCCCATTACATTTTCTTGTCAAAAATCAATGAACTATAAATGTGAGGTCTTATTTCTGGTCTCTCAATCTATCCCCTTCATCTTGTGCCAGTATCACTCTATTTTATTTCCTGTTGCTTTGTAGTACCTGAATTTAGAAAAGGTGAGTTTACAACTTTGCTTTTTTTTTTTTTCAAGACTGCTTTAGTTATACTGGGTTCACAAATTTCCACATGAATTTTATAATCACCTTAAAATCAGAAGCCAGTTGGAATTTTAATAGGGATTATACTGAATCTGAAGATGATTTGGGGGAGTTTTACCATCTTAAAAATATTAAGTCTCTATCTTTACATTTATTTTTTCCAGGAATGTTTTGTAGTTTTCAGTGTGTTTTATTTTTGTTAAATTTACTTCTGAGTATTTTATTATTTTTGAAGTTGTTGTTAATGAAATATTCTTAATTTTATTTTCAGATTATTCTTTGGAAGTTAGAGAAATATAATTGGTTTGGAGTATTAACTTTTGTATATTATCATAGAACCTTACTGAACTCATTTATTAATTCTAACACATTCTTAGTGGATTGCTTAGACTGTCTACATGTAAGACCATTCATCTGCAAATAGAAATAGCTTTATTTTCCTTTTGGTCTGGATGCCTTGTATTTCTTTTCCTTGCCTAATTGCTCTGGTACAATATTGAATAGAAGTGGTGAGAACAGACATCCTTTGAGGTGAGGTGAGCATTTGGTCTTTTAATGTTAAGAAGAGTAGCTATCTGTTTTTTGTAGATACTTTTATCAGATTGAGGAAGTTCCCTTCTAGTTCTAGTTTTTTTCTTTTGAAGTTTTGTTGATTTCTTCCTTCTTGTTTATTTTTACCATAAATGAGGCTGAATTTTGCCAAATACTTTTTCTACATTTACTTAGAACATGTGGGGTTTTTAAAAAATATTTTACCCTCTTGATACAGTATATAACATTAATTGAGTTTCAGATATTGACCTTATTTTTTTGAGGGAGGGCGGTGATACCAGGAATTGAATTTAGGACCTCTAGCTTGGCAGACAGGTACTGTGCCATTGAGTCACTGAGCTACATTCCCAGCCCTGCTTATTAACCTTCTAGGGCTGCTATAAAAAAATACCACAAGAAACCAGGGATTTAGCTCAGTGGTGCTACTGCTTGCCTCGCAAGCACAACATCCTGAGTTTGATTCCCGGTACCAAAAAAAAAAACCCAAAACAAAACAAAACAAAAAACCACAGGCTGAGTGGCTTGCAAACAGAAATTTATTGTCTTATAGCTATGAAAGCTTGAAGTCTGAGATAAGATGTTAGTAGGTTTGGTTCGTTCTAAGGGCTATGGAAGTTTGTTCCATGCCTTTTGCATGGCTTCTAGTAGCTTGCCAGAAATTTAGTATTTCTTGTGCAGTTTAATCATCTCAGTGTCTGCTTTTATCTCCATATGGCATTTTCCTTATATGCCTGTTTCTATAAAAATTTTCCACTTTTTAATATAAGGATACCTATCATGCTGGATTAGGCCCATCCTAATAATCTCATTTTAACTTAACTAATTTCACAACAACCCCATTTCCAAATGGGGTACTAGATGTTACAACTTTAGCACATGAGTTTTGAGGGGGATGATTTCACCTGTGACAGTGGCATTCTTAATGCTATCTCATTTTACATTTTGCATCTCTCATCTTCTCAAAATAGAAGCCATAGGTAATTCTGAATACCAAGTTCTAATAGGCAGCTAGAGCAAAAATCACAAGTTGGAGTTCTCAGTGCTTAGTTTCATTCATAGTCCTGTCTTGTTTGGCTTGCATGGTGTTGAAAACAATAATAAAATAATTAATTGCCAATATTTATATTCAAGATATTTACCTAAGAAGTTGGATTACTAAAATTTCTTGAAGAAGTCTGAAGTTTCCATAACAGATGCTACCATGTCAACTGGCTAGTGAGGTGTCTTTGTGCCTTTTGTAGTGGCTCTAGTGCCCTTGAGATAGAACTTGTGGTATCCATTTCACCATAGTGAACTTATTTTTCCCATTCAGCTTAATTTCCTTGACTTAGAAGCTCTGGTCATATGGTCTTTTATGATGAGAAAGCACAGATTCCTAAATTTTGCTTATGTTCTCAGCTAAAGCATAGCAGAATGGCTTTACTTTATGATTTTGAACCCAAATGGCCTTTTAAGTCAAAATCAAGGGCACTTGGACATGAAAGGCTTTTGTCTCAAGGACTTTTAATATAACTAACTGAAGTCAGGTAAGTATTGTATCATCAAAAGAAATAATCACAGTGCTGGAATTATGTAGAACCTTCAGTCTTTTGAAGGTAGCAGAAGGATGAAAATAAAAGGTGGGGATGGATATCGATCTGTAAAATGCTATCGTTAGTATTTGCTTGAGACTGCACGCAAATCTCATTTCTTCTTTCTTTCAATAAGATCACCAACAAAGGTCTTCAGGTCTGGAAGACAGAGGACACTCTAGCCAATCAAATGTCCATTGCATGGCAACTACCACAATATGCCCTAGTTACAGCTGCAGAGGTCATGTTCTCTGTCACAGGACTTGAGTTTTCTTATTCTCAGGTAAGATTTTGCAAGTGGAAGTGGAAGAGGAGACATTACTTGAAAGACAGTGGATTTTAATTCTGGCACAGTCTCAAATGTTCATATGATGCCCACCTAGACCTCCATCTTTTTGGCCTTGGGTTCCTTGTATATGACTCTGAATACTAATCTTGACTCCATAGTCAAAATAGTGCAGCATAGAAAGTGCAGCATAGGAGTCTGTGCTGCTTGGGTTCTGGGAAAGAACACTTAAAAATGAAGTATAAGGAGGAGGTGAAGGGAGGGCAGGGGTATGGGGAAAAAATGAGAACCAAGACCTGTCATGTAAAGGTACAAGATCCCAATGATGAATGTAGCTGTATTGTATACCTAAAAAGTACCAATAAATTCAATGAGAAAAAAAAAGTCTGAGGGCTGTGGAGTTAGATTATCCAAGTTCAAATTTTGGCTGCCTGACCTATTGCATAGCCTTGCACAAGTAAATTATCTTTCTACTGCTGTCTTTCTTTGCTTTGTGATATTTTTCTTTTCTTATATTTTAGTAATACTAATATAATTTATATGTTGGGATTACAATAGATGATGTGATATAATGAATTATAATATTTAATTAAAAGCTGTATTTTAGGGCTGGGGATTTAGCTCAGTGGTTCTACTGCCTGCCTTGCAAGTTCAAGGACCCAAGTTCAATCCCCGGTACTAAAAAAAAAAACAAAAAACAAAAACAAAAGAACTCTATTTTATTCTTACTTTAACATTATTGCCATCCTCCAAATCAATGTGATATCTGAACTTAGTGGAGGAGGATAAATCTGTAAGAGTCTGTGGGAGAAATTGCCTGCATAGGCTCACAGGGCAGGAGAGAGGTGTAGTTAGTTTGTTTACTTACAAACTTGTGTCCTCCCTAGGCTCCATCTAGCATGAAATCTGTGCTACAGGCAGCCTGGTTGCTGACAGTTGCATTTGGGAATATTATCGTGCTTGTTGTTGCACAGTTCAGTGGCCTGGTACAGGTATGAATCTGAGGGAAACAGGAGTGTATGTCTACCCAGAGATTTTCCTCCAACTTCCTTCTGTCCTTTCCCCATCTCTCCTAGCCGTTATCCCCCACTCAGTGCTATGATGTGAATGGGTTAGATACACAGACTTTATGAGGAAAGAGATATATTTAGATGGCAATAAGGACCACTCTAAAGACTCTGAGGAAAGGCCAGTGAACCCAGTTGTTGCAGTCAGTTTGGGCAAAGAAATACATTAAATACAGGACACATAATGTATAGAATTACTTATAATAATTACCTCAGAAGTCAAATGCAAAGGAATGCACACCAGAGACCCAAAGAATCCAGCTGAGGACCTGGATCTCAGAAGTGTCCCACACAAGCCCAGCTAAAGGCTTGGAGTCCAAGGAAGTGTCCTCCACGAGTCCAACCAGAGGCCTAGAGCCCACAGCAAAATCTCATGCTTGTCCATCCTGAGGATGTACATCTGGAAGGCCCGAAGGCCAGAAGGGGAAGCCAGAAAATCTATGCCAGTGAGATGAAGGATTTGTGCCACCAAGCTCAGGGAACCACACTGGAGTCAGGAAGTGATGCTCATAGTGAGGATCAGAGATTCCTGGACAAAAACAGCACCCATTCCCAGCAACACTGAGGGCCCGAGCTCCTCCTCCTCCGAGAACATGCCTAAATCACATCAGGAAAACCTCCACAGCAAGCTTCTCCTACAAAATCAACAGGCCACAATCTTACCATCTGGCTCTCTTTTTATGTCTACTGACAACAATCCCCAGGTGGATCCTCCACCCCCGCAGACCACACTGATTCAGTTCATCTGGGTGTTACAAGTTGACCATTAGTCAATCCACCACACCAGTGTTCTTCCAAGAAGTCCGTTTAAACTGATGTTGCCTCACTCAATCTGTTCCCCAGGCCTTACCCTAGAAAGATCCCTTTTGTTTTAGTTTTCACCATATTCTTTTATGTTTTTTTCTTCCTGCAGTGGGCTGAATTCATTTTGTTTTCCCTACTTTTGCTGGTGGTCTGCCTGATCTTCTCCATCATGAGCTACTACTATGTTCCTGTAAAGTCAAAGGAGATTCATGGGCCAGAAGATAAACAGAATCTTCATATGCAAGGAAAAATGGTCAACCTAGAGACCAAGAATACAAAGCTCTGATGATCCCCTGGACCAATCCTAATTCCTGGCCATGGTCTTGGCCATCACTCAGCTGCAAGCATTTGTCTGTCCTAATGGGTTAATAGAAAAAGGTAGCTGATCTTCTCCACCTCTCTCATATGAGAGAGGTAACTTTAGGGCTGGGGCTTCTAGTACATCTTTAAACAAGGTACCTACACTATATATCTTCCCATTTATTAATGAACTCAGTAAATCCCAAGTAGTGTAGTTCAAGCTGGCCTGGTATCTCAAATGGCCACAAAAATACAAAAGTATAGTTAAGACAAACCTTTGTGGGTATGCAGAATAATGCGTGATTCCCTCGCAGGTCCTTGCCATTTGGGGTGCTGGTTTAGGGGCAAAAATGGAAAATAGAAACATGGTACTTCAAGTTTCTTTATCAGCACTATAACTGTGCTATTCACAAAGACCTCAGAGATGGTGTGTATGGGAGATAGATTTGGTTTAGGGGCTGGATTGTCAGCTTTCCATGTGTGATAGGGTCTTTTATGGTAGGAGACAGAATGTTATTTTATTAATATATGTATATAATACATATGTATCTGATTGCCGTAGTATTATATACACTCACTGAAACCACATTAAAGATAATAAATATTATTAAATATAGTCCTGGAGAACAAGAGTATTTATAAATTGTAGAAATCCTGATCAGCCATTCATTATTCTACAATGAACATTCTTCCTAGGATTATGATGTTTCAGCCATGGACTATTCCCTTCTGTAGATAGCTGTACAGACAGTAACTATAATTTTGCAACTTAATCTTTTCAGGGTTGCTGGGACTTCTTTTTCTTATTATATTTTGTCTTGCATATTGAAGCAAATCATTAATAACATTATTTTTATAAATGCAACTTCCTTTATTAATTTTTCCACTTAGCCTCAAAGTAGTAGCTTTGTTTTAAAGTTTTTCCTGGTTTACTTTTCTCATAACCTTGAAATGCCCTTTCTTCGAAATGTCTCGGAAACTTTCTATCTAGTCAAAAAAGACTAATATTAGTGTTTTAGGTTTGAAATTCTAAGTGGTGATACTCAATAAAAGGGCATGGATTTACATGAAGATCTTATAAGAATCTGTGTGTGGTGGGAGTAGAGCATAAGCAGGTTTTGCTTGTGTGCTTATGTATGTATGAAAAAGTTGAGAAATTCACCTCGCCCGCAATGAATGAATCAGGACACCGACCTGGGGAATATTATGACTGCGTACTGTGTCACCAGAGGGAAAAGTTTAGAATCATTGTACTAGAAAGCTTTGCTTCCATGCTTTCTATTCCAGTTTCATCTAAAACAGTGTTGGTCTCACAGTGTTAATGATATAATGGCTAAACAAATTTGATTCTTAGTTCTTGTCACAGTTCCTTACAAGGCACAGGTTTTTCCTTTTACCACAATGGTTCCCCTCTTCTCAGTAAGTATTCTTAACTGATAGGCAGAAATTAAAATCAAGGTATTTTAATATGTGTCACCTGGGGCCAAATGTAACATTCTAGAAGTTTGTCTGACCGGAAGAGCTTGTATTTGCCATTCTCTAGTTCCTCAAGCTCTATACCTTTCAATCTTAATAATCAAGAGTTGAGAAGAACAGAAATACCAGCAGCACAATCCAGTTTTCCCAGATACCTTGATATAAACCTGTCACTACTTCTTTAAAAGACAGCCTGTTCATTTTTAACCATCTTAACCCACACTCTTTTATAAATTTTGTTCCAAGAGATGTTAGCACTTTTCTGTGAATAAAAGTGTCAATGGACAAATAAGTTTAAGAAATGAAGCATATTATTATCGTCTTCACAATATTTGCATATTAATGACCCTGAGCTATTCTGCATTAAAGGTACTTTGTTTTAAATATCCTTGTTTTGTCACTTGTTGAGAAAGATCTGTTAAAATATCTACCACTGAGAGCTGGGCATAATGGTAGATATAATGTGCTATAGTGTCCTATGGAACACTGGTTTCTACAGAACTGTTGGGCAATCTTCCTTATGTTGAACTGACAGCTTCTTCTCTAATACTTCCTACTATTGGTTCTTTTCTTTATAGCAAATGAGAACAAGCATAGCATTCTTTTTCAGCTGGCGGATTTACAGTTATTTGGAAAAAGCTTTCCTTTAGTATGAATTCCTGTAGTATTCATCAAGCTAAAGAGTCTTAATTCATGTCATAGCTCCTCACAAGGCACAGCTCTTTTCTTTCTCCATAACAGTTTCTCTCTGGTAAATAACTATTCTTTACCTGAAATGCAGCAATTAAGATTAAGATATCTGAACATGTGATACCTGGAGCCAAATACAACATTCCAGAAGTTGTCTGACTGGAAGAGCTAGCACCTGCCATTCTCTAAACAAAGCACTCTGTCGAAACAAGTAAGGTAACATTAGATGTTTATGAAAACCACATCACAGTGTAAGCTTACCTGGAAGTTTTTAAAGAAAGCTCTTAACTTATCTATATCCATCTGTGAGTTCCATTCATTAACTGTTGGAGAAATGAAGATAGATATTCTACTGTGTCTGTCCTCAAGGTTACCCTGCTTACCTTAATTGACTATGAAGACCCTGGAAAGTCCAAAGGCTTTGATAAAGTAATGGTGTAATGAGGAAAAGCAAAAGAGACAGTGTGACAAGGATACAGTGCTACAGAGGTAAAAGATGAGAGGAAGCTAAGGATCAGACTATATGGGGGCATTATGACCATGATAGGATATTTTGAGATTATTCCAAGTGAGATGCGAAACCAGTAGAGATTTAGGTCATGAGAGTGCCGTAATCTGGTTCTCTAGTCAATTAGTCTAGCTGCTGAGTGGAGAATTATCTAAAAACAAAAAGGAGCAGGAGCAGGAATCCATGTAGGAAACTTTTGCAATAGTTCAAGCAAAAGATAATCATGGCTTGGACAAGATACTGCCAGTAGAGTTAGAAAGAAATAGTTTGACTTGGAATTACACTTAAAACTGAAGTGATTTGAATGTGATTGGGATATGCAGCTTGAAAGAAATAAACCAAGGCTAATTTCTAGATCTGTACATGAATAGTGAAGTCGAATCACAGTGAAATCTTAAAGAAATAAAAAAGCTAAAGATAGGTTTAGAGAATAAAGTAAGCATCTTATTTTGAGCGTACTGAGTTTCAGAGGCCAATGGTATACAACCGGAAACATTAAGGTGGCAGTTCCATATATCAATGTGATGTTCAGGTAAGAGGTTAGTACTAAAAATATAAACTCAGAGCCATCAGCATACAAATAATATTTAAAGCCCTGAAATTTGATAAGATCTCATAAGAAGTGACATATCTGATGAAATGGTTGAAGAACTGGGACCAGGGGGCTGAGAGAAAAGAAGGATGTAAAGACCACAAGGTGAGTGAACTATGAAATGTGAGGAAACTCGGAAGAATGTGACGTAATATAAATGACACATTGTTATTATAAATAGAAAAAAACAATGTGAAAAAGTAATCTTTGACTTAAGGAAGCACTTGTTGCTGTAAGCAAATTTGGGTTATGGTAATTTCTTTTTTTTTATTAAGTTTATTGGTACCTTTTAGGTATACAGTACAGTTACATTCACCATTGGGATCTGTACCTTTACATGATGTATCTTGGTTCTCATTTTTTCCTCATACCCCCGCCCCCTCTTCACCCCCTCCTCCCTTCCCTACTTACAAAGACTTTATTTCCATTTTTTTCTTTTCTCATATTTTTCTTTTACTTTCTTTCCTTTCCCCTACCCTTCCCACTTGCCCTACTTCTTTAGCCGTTTTCTTCCTATTTGGTAATTAAAAAAAATTTTTTTAGCAGTACATGTATTGCAGTATATAATGGTTACATTGTAGGAAATTGGTGCATGTACACAATGCATTGGAATTTTTTCTTTTTTTAAACATTCCCCTCCTCTCCATGGGTTATGGTAAATTCTATTCCAGTTTAACTGTGATTTCTTTTTCCTCCAAAATTTAATTCAATTTATTTTAATTCTCTGTCTATATCTCTTTCTCTCAGCACTGTCAAGAATTGTGGGATAAATACATGATTATAAATTTCTCATGAAGAATAAGATATGTATAAAATATCATTTAAATAGTAATGATACTTTTACTCATTTAACATCTTACTTTTCATGTGCATTTCTTAATCCCATTTAATGGGCCAAATGAATTTTCCAATAACTGAATAAGTTCATAAAAATGAAAGATTATTTCTGGCCATGGGAATTTGGAAAGGACTTGTGGAGTACATACTATTTTAGCCTGACCTTGAAGGTGACTGAAGTTTGGACATAAATCAAAGGACAAGAAATCACTCCAGGTAGAGAGTCCCTCACAAACAGTGAAGAGATAGGCAGGAAAACATGAGTGTTAGTGGGGAAGTGATGAGTAGCTTGATTGATGTGAAAAGTAGTAATGAGAGATAAGATTGGAGATGTTTAATAATGTTAATGCAATAGGTCCAAGTAAACAGATCCAATTTTAATGCATTTCTTAACTACCACTCTCAGGCCAGGGCATTTAACTCAGTGGTGTGGATGCCTGCCTTGCAAGTGCAAGGTCTGGAGTTCGATCCTGGAAAAACAACAACAAAAAATTAAATTAAGAATTAACTACCACTCTCCATGGTTTCTCATCTCAATTAGAGTAACATCCAAGTAACTTAACCTATCTGTAATTCTGTACCTAATCTGGGTTTTGCTTAACCTAATCATTACCATTCTGTGTTCACTTGACTACAAAGATACAACCTAACATTGGCCATCTTTGTTCCTCCAAACGTGCCGCACTTGCTCCTGGAATGATCTTTTCATTACCTGGGGTTTTCTTTTATATTTGTTAGCTGTTTTTGTCATTACTTTTTAGTTTACCTCCTTATTTCTTGATCCCTCAATTTGCAATAGCCGCCTAGTATAGCATGTACAAGTATGAATTTCTGAGGGCAAAGGGCAATGCAGCTAGTTCAATGAGTGGCTATGTTTCAGATATGCTGTGTATAAAAAAAGAGACAAAGATGAATGAAACACATTTCTTACCATCGATGAATGCAAACCTTTTCAATATTCAAAAAAAAGTTTTTCAGAAGGTTATGTTTGCCTGACTGTAGTATTTGGCTCTCAATACTTTTTATGTCTTATCTTCTGCCATCACTTTTGGAGTCTTTGTCATCCACAGACAAAAACCATTAACCCCAGTGTGCACAATTCTCTGACCTCTTTTAATTTGTAACAATGACTTCCATTTTACCAAGGGTAACTCAGTTATCCTCAGACTAAGCTTTGCCACAAATGTAAATATTTTTGCAAAGATGCTGCCCTCAAGTTCTCTATTTTTGAAATACTTAATCTTCTGCACTTTTACATCGTGTGCTCCCCTCCATTAATCTCACTGTCCTTTTTCATTATAACTTTCCATTGATACAGCTCAGTCCTCTCAAGTTACAATTCTGCTCTGGTTTCATTTGCTTGAAATTAGCCTGGGCCTCATGGTCAAGTATTTTAGCTATGCATTTTCTACATCCAAGAATATTTGGCCTTCCAAACCTTCCATCAACCATGTACAAATCTCAACCTTACTTCTATTCTTCCTGGGCTGCATGAAACTATAGGAAAAAGTCACAAGAGTATGATCATATGGCTCAAAATTCAACACTACTCATTTTCCAAATTAGGAACACAAGCATTATCCATGACTCCACCTCTGCCATCTTGCACATATTCAAACTCTCAAAAAGCCTAAGTAGGTTTTAAATCTCTCCACTCTTTTCTGTCCCATTGCCATTACAATAGTAAAAGTGGTTACCATCATGTCTCCAGATTATTACAAAGCCTTTTATACTTAATCATTTTTTCCTTACATGTTGGCAATATGGTCTTTTAAAAAATGCAAATCATATTGCTTTTCTGTTAAAAGCCCTTTATTCTTCTCTATTTGCTTTAAGTATAAACTTCTCACTCCTTAACAAGATTGATAGTGCTCAAAATGACTTGGGCCCTACCTATGTACATATCTAGAGCCATTAGTCTTTGTCAACTTGAATACCTTCACATACCTACATATACACACAGATCTGTTGAGATTTCAATCAGGATCGCATTGCATCTGAAGTTCAATTTCGTATCTTTTCCAGTATGAAGTCTTCCAAATCTTGAACATCATTTTTTATTTTCTTTCTTGAACATCATTTTTTATTTTCTTTCTTCTCTATTTGAGCATTTTTTGTTTGTTTGTTTTGTGTTTTGTTTCGAGACAGAGTCGTGCCTTTGTAGTTCAGGCTGGTCCTGAACTCACTATGTAGCTCAGACTAGACTCAAACTCTGGGTGATCCTGATCTTCCTGCCTCTGACTCCCAAGTGCTGGGATTACAGGCATGCACCACCATGCCTGGCCTCTCTTTGTAATTTCTCGAGATGAGTATTTATACCATTAGTTTTCCAATCTTTATTCTTTTAACAGATATAACTGATCTATAATTTTTTAAACTATTAATTTTCCTCTAATCATAATTTATCCTGTAGCCTACAAGTCCCCCCCACCATATTTATACTGCTTTCGCATTTGCATTACAGGTTTTCTTTAAAATTCCATTAAAGTT